CAGCCTCAGGCTCCTCTTCCCACCTCTACTTTCTGGGATACAGGCTCTCGAAGGAAGAACGAGCTGCCAGATTTTTGGTTCCCGACATCTGCCTTTGCTGCAGTTTAAAACGCCCGTAAACAGCCACGGCTGCTCTGTGCATGCCCTGTATCGCAGCTGCGGTGAATCTGGGTTTATCAAACACGTAACTCTGGGCAGGTGCAGAGGACAGTGCCCTGACCGGGAACAGCAAAGTCTCAGGGATAAGCCTTGGGCGCTGGCCTTGCTTCAGGCCTCTGTCAGGCACCTCCCAGCCCAGGCAGGGCGCTGCCGGCGGGTCTGGGGCCACTGAGTGGAAAGGGTGGGCAGCGCCAACTCGGGCATTCATAAAACCGAGTCCAAGGCACTAACACCACTATGTTCATCAGGGCAGGCTGTAGGGCTACTTGGTCAGCCCCTCCCGTTCGTTCTTGTCATGAGTCTGAGCAGTGCCCTTGCCAGAGAGCAAGCGTGGGCCCCAGGGCCAGGCTCCGCTCCGTCCTGACACCTCACACCCCCACCGCAGTCCTGCACCGACACACCAGCTCCCCACTGCAGCCAAGGTCAGACCAGCACCCCTGGATAATTTCTGGTTGCTGGACCCAGCGCCACAGCCTCTCCTGCCCCCTCAGGGAGCACCGACCTTCCCACCCCTCAAAACCCTTTGCCAGATCTTCCCCCGTTCACTCAACCGTTTCCTTCCCTGCCTGCCCCGGCTCTCCTCTTACCATCCGTACACCAGGATCACGTCATTGTCGTTGATCTTCTCAAAGGCCGACCTGGAAATGGCTTCAGCTGCCAAAAGAATCTTCTCCCGCAGATACTTGTCGATTGTGTCCTGCAGCTTCTCCTTTGCCTGGGGAGACAGTGCCATCACGTACAGCAGGGCCTGGCCATGGACAGCCCGCTGTAGGAGAGCTTTAAATGTAACCTCTGGTGTGTCTCAAATAGATTTTAAGGCCCAGCAAAACGTGCTCAGGACTGAGCGACCCTGTAACATTCCCAGGGCGGCCAGAACGCTGCTCAACAGGCCTGGAGAGGGTCCTCAGCCTGCTGCTTGTGTAGCCCCAGCCCAAGGCCGGTTTAAATCCCAGCCGGGCTAATCCTACACAGCCAGTTTAACCAAGGATGGTTCATTGACTGAACACGGGGGTTTGCCAGATTAAGAGAATTCAGCACATAGAAACCGCTCGCTCTGCCCAAGCTTTGAACAGAACATCCCCAAGTCTGTCTCGGAATTGTGCGAGATGAAAACTGGCGGGAGGAAGAGGAAGGAGATGATGACCCCAAAGATGACCCTGAGGCTGCAGCAAGGATTGGAACAGAGCGGTGAGAATCGGCGGCAGCCAGGGAATAAAATGGACTTTGGGAACTGGTGAAGCACGAAGAGCTGAGAGTTGGTGGGAACCCCCGAGACGTTTGCAGTGCCGACTGTTGTGTACAGCGACCTCTGGAGAAGGGGTTTTTGTCAGCCGTGGCCCCGAGACACCCCCAGCCTGGTGGATCCTTTACTGACGTTGTCCCCCGCAGCCTGGCAGGGCCATGGGCCAGTGGAGAGCCCATCCCTGCTCCCAAGCAGCCCGTTTGCCGAATGCCACCTGCTCCTAGACGGGGGCTCTGCGGGACACTCAAGGCCATTCCTGTCCTGCCACAAGCCTCCCAGCAGGCCACGGTGCCTCACCATGCATTCGAGCTGCCATCGGGCCCTCCCAGCTCTGCCTGTTATCTCCCCTGCACCTCCTGGGCCATGCATCTGGTCATCCCATGGAGATTTTCCTGCTCACTCTCCAGCCTGAGCCCACCAGCTGTGGGGGTCCCCTGACCTGTACCCCTGCACCCTGCCCCTCACTTCACAGCCCACAGGCTCCTGTGGAGCTTTTTGTAGCTGAACACTGGGAGAACTGGAGCCTGCTCTTGTGGGAGCCCACTCACCTCCTCCTCTCTCAGCGTGTCGGGGAGGCAGGAAATCTCCTTCTTGAGGAACTTGATGGCGTTGCCCATGCTGGCTGAAAGGGGCCGGCACTGGTTCAGGAAGCTGCAGAGAGGAAACGGGTTTAGCTCCAGAAGAGCAGGGAAGGCAAAAGCAAGGATGCAGCTGGGCTGGGGATGGCAGGACCCAGAGCCCAGGAAGTCTGGGCAGACACCACCCCACAGAGGCAACCAACAGACCATGCTCTGCGGAGCTTCAGTCCCTCTGCTCTGCCCCTGGGAGCCCTCACCTGATGTGCGGCTTCAGCTTGGCCACCAGGTCCCGCGACAGCTCCTCATTGGGGGGAGTGGAGTAATCCCGGATCAGCTGCAACACGGACGACGAGAACGTGAGCTCGGGGCACTGGCCCCTCCAGGCCAGGCACTGCACGGGACCACCTTGCCTAGGAGGCTGCAGGCCAGGCCTGAGCGGGCACAGCACAGCCTGACACGCTCCCACAGGTATAGAAGAATTTTAAATACAACCTCTGGTGAGTCTCAAATAGATTTTAAGGCCCAGTGAAACGTGCTCAGGACTGAGCGACCCTGTAACATTCCCAGGGCAGCCGGAACGCTGCTCAACAGGCCTGGAGAGGGTCCTCAGCCTGCTGCTTGTGTAGTCCCAGCCCAAGGCCGGTTTAAATCCCAGCCGGGCTAATCCTACACAGCCGGTTTAACCAAGGACGGTTCATTGACTGAACATGGGGGTTTGCCAGATTAAGAGAATTCAGCACATAGAAACCGCTTGCTCTGCCCAAGCTTTGAACAGAACATCCCCAAGTCTGTCTCGGAATTGTGCGAGATGAAAACTGGCGGGAGGAAGAGGAAGGAGACAATGACCCCAAAGATGACCCTGAGGCTGCAGCAAGGATTGGAACAGAGCGGTGAGAATCAGTTGAAGGCGGGGAATAAAATGGACTTTGGGAACCGGCAAAGAACGAAGAGCTGAGAGTCGGTGGGAACCCCCGAGACGTTTGCAGTGCCGACTGTTGTGTACAGCCACCTCTGGAGAAGGGGTTTTTGTCAGCTGCGGCCCCGCCCCAAGGTGCCAGCCCAGCTCCGGGTGGTCCCTAAAGTGGCCCAGAGACAACCCCAGTCTGGTGGATCCTTTAACAAAGGGGTGGCCAAAGGGGGCTCCAGGAAATCGAAACTGCAGCGGCAGTGCCAGAACACGATCCCAGCAGGACCCAGCCCTGGGCAGGGCCAGAAGGAAGAGGCTGCACACGACTGAGCGCAGATACAGGCAGGGTGGGATGCCTGTGCCTGGTGGGCATGGGCAGGGGCTCCCGTACCTGTTTGAAGACTTCCAGCAAGGCGATGCAGCGGGCGTTGGAGCCATTGATGATGCCCTGGGAGTACTGGAGGCCAAGGCGCACCACGGCCGGGTGAATGACTGTGGAGGGGATGCTGCGGGGACAAAGGTGACAGAGAGCTGTCGGCGCTGGCCCTCTGCAGCCCAGGAACAGCCCAGGGGGCACCCAGGGGACAGCCCGAGGAGGGGGCTGTCAGTCGGCCCCCGCTCCCCTGGTGACCGGAGGAGCCAGGGTGACCCCACAACCCGACGGCAGCTCTCCTCACCCCGTATGCAGAGCACCCGGCTGCCGCTCCTCAGAGCGAGCAAAGGGGTTCCCCACCCACCCCCATGGAGGACCAGGACACCCCTTTGCTATGGCCATTTTGCAGCCAGGCCAGACGAAGCAGAGACAAACAATTGCCAGGGGCCTGGGCTGGGGAGGCCACATACCTCATCTGCTGTGTCAGCGGCTTCTTCCGGCTGTACTGGTGCAAGTGGGAGAACAAGTTGACCTTGGTGCCGTAGTCCTGCCTCAGAGGTACCTGCAGCCGGCGTGTCGATGACAGCTCACCCCAGGCTGCCACACAGCGCCGCTTGCCCCAGCGTCACCAGTCACCCCCAGCCCTCGCTTGTGGCACACCAGGGTCCCCTCTGCCCAAAAAAGAGGGGGCCCCAAACCCCCACAGGCGCAGCCCGACCCCCCCAGCACACCTGGCCTGAAGCACACAGGCCAGCACCTCTCCCACCTGCTGCCGCTCCAGCTTCTTGGCCAGTTTCCTCTGGGCAGCGGGATCGTCCACCTGCACGTGCTCCGGCAGCCGCTTCACCACTGCGAGGAGGGTGGGGTGAGGTGGTACCGCCCTGACGCAGCCCCCGGCCCCGCCACGCCGCCCCCAGCCAGCGCAAAGGATAGATCGGGCACCCCCCCATCCTCCGCACCCTGGGGGACCACGGCTTTACCAGACTGAGGCTCGGTGGGGGTCAGCCTGGGCTTGGCTGCTGCAGCTGCCTGACCCAGCTCTGCCTTCTTGGCCTGCTTCTGGGCCCGCTCGGCCTCCTGCTTGGCGCGGCGCTCCGCTCGCAGCTCGGCTTTGCTCTTGCCCCCTGCGGGCTTCTCGCCATCGTTGGGGCCGTCAGCAGAGGCCGGGGGGGACGCGGGGTGAGCGGCGGCTGCAGGACATAGAAGGGGGAAGTCTGCGCCCAGCCCCTCCTCTGCACAGGGCTCAGCCCCTGGGGGGCTGCCGGGGTTAAACCCCCATTCTGCGGCACCCCGCCACCCCGGCGCGGGACTACCAGGCCGGCCCCAAGTTCGGGAGGGGACGGGACCAGGCTCTCCGTACCCCGGGCCCTGAGAGAACACGGGGCCCCGAGGGGCAGGGCCGGGGTGCAGAGAGCTGGGGCTGTCTCGGGGTGGTGAAGAGCCATGGAGCTTGAAGGGGTGCGCCGACGTGCTTGTGCCCCTCTCGGGGCGCAGATCCGTGTTGGGAAGCTCCCCGTGGTGCCCCAGGGCCCCACTTGTTCCCCCGCGCAGCAGAGGCGCTGCCTTCCTGCTGCGGGGAGGCCGCGGAACGCGCAGGCTGGGTCCTGCGCCGGGTGAGGGTGTGGAAGCACTGCCTCTCCGCGGGAAGTGCTGACCTCCTGCTCTCCTTCCCAGGCTGTGGCCTCCAAGCTGGATCTGCCGGATGACCTGGTCGGCTACTTCAGCCTCTTCCTAGTGAGAGAGACCAAGGATGGGGCTTTCTCCTGTGAGTAGGAGCTGGAGCCCCACAAGGGCTGCGGTGGGACTCCTGCCCTGCACCCTGCCCTGGCTGGGGGGGCCGGTGGGCCCCCGCCGCCCTGAGCTGCCCCTCAGCTGCTGTTTCCCCGCAGTTGTGCGGAAGCTGCAGGAGTTCGAGCTGCCGTACGTGTCCGTCACCAGCCTGCACAACCCTGAGTTCAGGATCATCCTGCGCAAGAGGTGGGTGAGTGGCCGGGCCAGCGAGGCTGGAGCAGCGGGGAGGGGTCTGGGGCTCCCTGCTCTGCAGGGGGACCCCTCCCCTCCTGCCATCCCCGCCCGCGGGGTGCTTTGGCCCCCAGGAACACACCTGAGTGGGGCCATGACTCTGGGGCCAGGCTGCCCTGCTGGGCTTGGCCTGTTCCCACGTTCCCAGACACAGGAAATGTGGGGCATGGCCACCGATGGCTACCAGAGCAGCTGGCCAGAGAGCCAGCCTGGCGCCTCGCCCCAGCCTGTGGGGGGAGAGTCTCCTGGTCACTGTTAGGACCTGGGGAATAGGTTGACCCATGTGGTTCCCTTCTAGCTACTGGGACTCCTCTTACGATGATGACGTAATGGAGCATCGTGTGGGGTTGAACTTGCTGTATGCGCAGGTGAGGGTCGGTGCGGCCCAGTGGGGGGGGCTGGGGGGGGCAATGAACCCCTCGGCTACAGCCGGGGTCTTGGCCGCTTGGGGGCCTTGGGCGGCTCTGGGCCCTGCTGCTCACTGGCCCCGCTT